TATATATATATATATATATATATATATATATATATATATATATATATATATATATATATATATATATATATATATTATATACATATAAAACAACTCAAAACCACTACATATATATATATATATATAACAATTCAAGTCTTCTTGATATAATATAGAGTGCTCAATACTTTATTGTAGAGCTAAATATATAATTATTTAAATAAAGTACAAAACAAACGTTTGTTTTGTACTTTATTTAAATAATTATATATATATATATATATATATATATATATATATATATATATATATATATATATATATATATCTATATATATATATCTATATATATCTATAGATCTATATATATCTATCTATATATATCTATATATATCTATCTATATATATATATCTATCTATATATATCTATATATATCTATATCTATATATATCTATATCTATATATATGTATATCTATATATATATCTATATATATATATATATTTTATATATATATATATATATATATATATATATATATATATATATATATATATATATATATATATATATATATCGTTAAACGTGATCCTATAATCCTACATTAGAACGTCACGGACATGACTTGAGATGCTGTGGTAGATCACAATTGGATTATGGACCACAAAATGGGAACCAAAAATTGCAAAAATATGCATGGAATGTATAAAGAAAGTTAACTAAGGCTTCTCATTCTTTCTTGTGCATGTAGAAATAGGTATAACCATCAAATTTCTTTTCGTGTCTTGCAACATATTCTTTGATCTTAGAGGAAAAAAGACAAAATATAAGAAGTGGCTCTTATTGAATGGACCGCAGTTTACAATAGTATAGGGACAACAGTTTACAATTGATAAAACTGCCCAGCATAAAGTTATTTAGTTCAGAATTCCATCTGAACAAACAAAAATGAGGGTGTTATACTGGACCTCTAGGGCCTCCAGTATAAATAAAATCTATTTATTTCATTATTCCACCGGGAATTAATTGATAGAGCTTTCCAGTATAAATAAAGTTTATTTCGTTCGGAATATTTCCTCCCAAAAACAAAAAAAAAACGAGGACCTTATTATGCTGGACCTCTAGGGACAACAGTCTAGAATTAATAGAGCTTTCGAGTATAAATAAAATGAATTTAGTTCATAATTCTAACTTGCACAAAAAATGAGGGTCTTATAAATACTGGACCTCTATGGGAGAACAGTTCAGAATAGATAAATATATGGTGTCTGTCTGCAGTATACTGCATGTGTATGACTACCTTTTTTGCAGTGATATCATCGTATCGAGTCCATTGATCTGTTTCCACATCATACACATCACTGATGTAGTGGCCTGCAAAATTAAGTTCAGCGAAATGATTGAACTTGTAACAAACTTGGTGGCATTATCAGACTTGTTACATGGTTGTTCTAACAAGTCTGATACAGATATGATATATCGTTGTATCATGACTGTATCGGACTTGTTGGAACCTGGAACTAGTCTGATAATATCAACAAGGTTGTCTCACGTAAAAACGCACAATTTGTTACGGCTCTGCAAACCTGTGAACTTCACAAGCTGTCGACAAGTTGTGTTCGCACTGCTTGTCACAAGTTGTCAACAAGTTTGGAACAAGCCGTTAACAAACTGTAACATTGTTGTTGACATTACCAGACTTGTTGCAAGGTTGTTCCAACACGTCCAATGCAGTCATGATACAACAATGTTGTTACAATCTTGTGTCGTCAACCTTGTAACATTCTTGTTATATCATGACTGTATCAGACTTGTTAAAACAACTTTGTAACAAGTCTGATAGTGCCATCAAGCTTGTTACAAGTTGTTAACAGCTTGTTCCAAACTTGTTACAACAACTGGGAACAAGCAGTGCAAAGACAACTTGTCGACAGCTTGTGAACAGACTTGTAACAACTTGTTTGCAGACTTGTTACAAGTTGTGCGTTTTACATGTGTAGTTGCAACAACTTTGGAACAAGCTGTTAACAACTTGTATAACAAACTTGATGGCATTATCAGACTTGTTGCAAGGTTTTTCTAATAAGTCTGATACAGACATGATATAACAATGTTATAAAGCAGGCGACACAACGTTGTAACTATATTGTTATATCATGACTGTATCGGACTTGTTGGAACAACCTTGCAACAAGTCTGATAATATCAACAAGGTTGTTACAAGTTGTTAACAGCTTGTTCAAAACTTGTTGTCAACTAAGGACAAGCTGTGCAAACACAACTTGTTGACGGCTTGTAAGCAGACTTGTTACCCAACAACTATCACTATAGACGTAAAAATCTCACAACTTGTTGACGGAACAAGCTCGCAGCGCGCAGTTGTGACAAGCTTGTTATTTTATCAAGTTGTAACAAGCTTGTTGGTTGGTATCAAGCTTGTTACAACTTGCTGTCTTGTACTTGCGGACCAGTAGCAACAACTTGCAACAAGCTTGTTAACAACAAGACAAATCACACTTGTTGGAACAACTTGTAACAAGCTTGTTGACAACAAGACAAATCACACTTGTTGGAACAACTTGTAACAAGCTTGTTGACAACAAGATAAATCACACTTGTTGGAACAACTTGTAACAAGCTTGTTGACAACAAGACAAATCACAACACTTGTTGGAACAACTTGTAACAAGCTTGTTGACAACAAGACAAATCACAACACTTGTTGGAACAACTTGTACCAAGCTTGTTGACAACAAGACAAATAACACTTGTTGGAACAACTTGTAACAAGCTTGTCGACAACAAGACAAATCACACTTGTTGGAACAACTTGTAACAAGCTTGTTGACAACAAGACAAATCACACTTGTTGGAACAACTTGTAACAAGCTTGTTGACAACAAGACAAATCACACTTGTTTTCCAAACTTGTAACAAGCTTGTTGACAACAAGACAAATCACACTTGTTGGAACAACTTGTAACAAGCTTGTCAACAACAAGATAAATCATACTTGTTGGAACAATTTGTAACAAGCTTGTTGACAACAAGATAAATCATACTTGTTGGAACAATTTGTAACAAGCTGTCAACAACAAGATAAATCATACTTGTTGGAACAACTTGCAACAAGTTTGTCAACAACAAGATAAATCATACTTGTTGGAACAACTTGTAACAAGCTTGTTGACAACAAGACAAATGATACTTGTTGGAACAATTTGTAACAAGCTTGTTGACAACAAGACAAATCACACTTGTTGGAACAACTTGTAACAAGCTTGTTGACAACAAGATAAATCACACTTGTTGGAACAACTTGTAACAAGCTTGTTGACAACAAGATAAATCACACTTGTTGGAACAACTTGTAACAAGCTTGTTGACAACAAGACAAATCATACTTGTTGGAACAACTTGTATCAAGCTTGTTGACAACAAGACAAATCACACTTGTTGGAACAACTTGTAACAAGCTTGCTGACAACAAGACAAATCACACTTGTTGGAACAACTTGTAACAAGCTTGTTGACAACAAGACAAATCATACTTGTTGGAACAACTTGTAGCAAGCTTGTTGACAACAAGACAAATCACACTTGTTGGAACAACTTGTATCAAGCTTGTTGACAACACGACAAATCACACTTGTTGGAACAACTTGTAACAAGCTTGCTGACAACAAGACAAATCACACTTGTTGGAACAACTTGTAACAAGCTTGCTGACAACAAGACAAATCACACTTGTTGGAACAACTTGTAGCAAGCTTGTTGACAACAAGACAAAACACACTTGTTGGAACAACTTGTATCAAGCTTGTTGACAACAAGACAAATCACACTTGTTGGAACAACTTGTAACAAGCTTGCTGACAACAAGACAAATCACACTTGTTGGAACAACTTGTATCAAGCTTGTTGACAACAAGACAAATCACACTTGTTGGAACAACTTGTAACAAGCTTGCTGACAACAAGACAAATCACACTTGTTGGAACAACTTGTAACAAGCTTGTTGACAACAAGACAAGTCACACTTGTTGGAACAACTTGTATCAAGCTTGTTGACAACAAGACAAATCACACTTGTTGGAACAACTTGTAACAAGCTTGTTGGTTGGTATCAAGCTTGTTACAACTTGCTGTCTTGTACTTGCGGACCAGTAGCAACAACTTGCAACAAGCTTGTTGACAACAAGACAAATCACACTTGTTGGAACAACTTGTAACAAGCTTGTCAACAACAAGATAAATCACACTTGTTGGAACAAATTGTAACAAGCTTGTTGACAACAAGACAAATCACACTTGTTGGAACAACTTGTAACAAGCTTGTTGACAACAAGACAAGTCACACTTGTTGGAACAACTTGTAACAAGCTTGTTGACAACAAGACAAGTCATACTTGTTGGAACAACTTGTAACAAGTTTGTTGACAACAAGACAAATCACACTTGTTGGAACAACTTGTAACAAGCTTGTTGACAACAAGACAAGTCACACTTGTTGGAACAACTTGTAACAAGCTTGTTGACAACAAGACAAGTCACACTTGTTGGAACAACTTGTAACAAGCTTGTTGACAACAAGACAAATCACACTTGTTGGAACAACTTGTAACAAGCTTGTTGACAACAAGACAAGTCACACTTGTTGGAACAACTTGTAACAAGCTTGTTGACAAGACAAGTCATACTTGTAACAAGTTTGTTACAAGTTGTTAACAGCTTCTTCCATATTTGTTACCAACTAGGGAGAAGCAGTACGAGCACAACTTGTTGACAGACTTGCTACAAGATGTGAGATTTTTACGTGTATCGACTACACACGCAAAAATCTCACATCTTGTAGCATGTCTGTCAACAAGCCATCAACAAGTTGTGTTCGCACTGCGTGTCTCAAGTTGTAAACAGTATGGGACAAGCTGTTAACAACTTGTAACAAGCTTGTTGATATCATAATGATAATGATACTTATATAGCGCATACACATTGCTCTCCTAAGCGCAAGGACAGTTGTTGCAAGGTTGTTCCAACAAGTCCGATACAGTCATGATATAACAATATTGTTACAACCTTGTGCCGTCAAACTTGTAACATTCTTGTTATATCATGACTGTATCGAACTTGTTAGAACAACCTTGTAACAAGTCTGATAATGCCATCAAGCTTGTTACAACTTGTTAACAGCTTGTTCAAAACTTGTTGACAACTTGGGACAAGCAGTGCGAACACAACTTGTTGACGGCTTGTTGGCATACTTGCACAAGATGTGAGATTTTTGCCTGTGTGTACATACCTGAAGATGTATTTTCACCAACATGACTCACTACACTCACAAGTCTGTAGCTCAACTCATCTAGTGGGGTCTCTTCTGTTTCCATTTTCTAATCAGCAAAACAAATAATAAAAGTTTAAAACAATGTTATTTCTTTGCGCAGTTCTTAGTGTAGACATGTCTTTGACCTCTGTGACCAGGGAGCATGGCCAGATTTTGAGGGGAGGTGTGCGGAGGTACGGACCTCCCCTGAGATCGATTTGCACCTCCCCTGAGAATTTTTGCACCTCCCCTGAGAATTTTTGCACCTCCCCTGAAAATTCATACACCTCCCCTTGGGAAAGTTTCAATGATAGATCAAAGTGAAAATTTGACATTTTTTGTTTGCTTAGGGTCTACACTTCGTAAGAAAGTTTTTCTGTAATATTGAAACAATGATAGCCATTCATTTCTATGTCAAGTTCCTTTTAATGCGATATTTTGAAAGAAACTTTGTAGTAATTGTAATGAAGGGCAAAATTGGATGAGTTGTACAGTCATAATTCTAACATACATGCATGCGCCACGTCGTTGATTTTGGCCCGTTGTATGATGTGTAGGTAGGACTTTAATTTGGGACTCCTCAGTCCTGTTGTCTGTACCTTCAAGGCCGTATTCCCTGGCCCCAAAAGTCGCTTAGAAAACGTTGCCCCCCTTCGGGCACTACTTTAAATTTACATGAATCTATAGATTTTTATACGCTGAGTTCGAATTCACTTGTTGTCACTCGCACAAACCTGCAGTTTTTTTGTATTTTACGATCAAACATCAACATTTTTTATTAACATTTTCGCCATTTTGTTCAGGAAACTTCATGTTATATACAGTTATTGTACTAGTTCAAGTCTCTTAGCAGGGGGGTTGCACCACTGAGCCACAGAATAGGAAGTTATACCAGAAGCGTAACTCTAGTCGTTTCCCTTATCCACTCACGTGCCACTCGCTCACGTCAGGCCACGCCATCCTGGCTAGTACAGCCGGAAGTTTTTATCAGGATTTGGTAGGTACAAAGTGCCGTTTGTACTAGCCAGGATGGCGTGATTGATGACGAATCGCTTGTAAAAACGCGGACAAATACTTGCTCGAGTTACGCTTCTGGTATAACTTCCTATTCTGTGACTGAGCTATACTTAATATATCTGGAGATCGTGCTCCAATACCTCGTCAGTCAAAAATGTGTGGCCAAAAACATGGCGGATTTTGGCCAAATTTAGGTAATAAATCCATGTCCTATATACGCGAATATGAGACACACTCGCTCTATATTCACATGTACACCGTTATCCACTGTTATCTAGTGTCATCTACCGTTATCCACTGTTATCTAGTGTCATCTACCGTTATCCACTGTTATCTAGTGTCA